AAGGAGAATTGCAATTGCAATCTCATATTGGAGAAAAATTTCAAGAATTTCCCGAAAAAATCAAAGATAAAAAACAATTACAAAGCTTCCTTGATAAATTGAATTATGCTGAAGGATTTATTGAAAATTGTGTCAAACTAAAAAATTATTTTCTTCCAAAATTAAGAAAAAATATAATGTGGTCTTGAAAAAAAAAGATTGTGAAAATATAAGAAAGGTAAAAGAAGAATTAAAGGCATTGCCCAAACTTATAATTCCACAGGAAAAAGATTTCTTTATCCTTGAAATTGATGCTTCAGATAATTTCTGGGGAGCAGTATTAAAAGTTAAAAAGAATCATAAAGAATATAAATGTGAAAAGAATTGTTCTTGTCCTGAGATACTTGCAGGTTATACATCAGGAACATTCAAAGAAGTTGAAACTAGATATGAAACGAACAGGAAAGAACTCATTGCTGTAAAAAGAAGAGTTCAAAAATATGAAAATTATTTATTACCAAAAAAGTTCTTGATTAGAACTGATAATACTCAAGTTAAAATTTTTTTGAAAAATAATATTGATCCATCTATTACTAATAGATATATTATCAGGATACAAATTTGGTTTTCATACTTCAAATTTGATATTGAATGTATTAAAGGAAAAACTAACTTTCTTCCTGATTATCTCAGCAGGGATGGAGCTAGAGCAATTAAGGACGAAAGTCCAAATACTTGAAATAAAAGTTTCCTATTTGGAAACACAAATTCAAAATATCCAAAATAGCCTTCGAGGCAAAAATATAGCCCTTGAGGCAGAAGTAACTTGTACCAAGTCTAGTATTCCTTCACAGGGACCAGTAAATACTAGCGCTCTCCCCGAGGATAAAGGGAAAGGGAAGAAGGTAATAGGAACCCCTTCACAGGGAATACTTCAGCCTATTACTAGTAAAGAAGATATTCAAAATATCAAAAGCGAAAGTAGCTCTTTACAGAGCCAAACTAAGTCTAAACTTTCTATTGAAAGAATGAGCTCAAAAGATATTGTCAAAATATGTCATAAGGCAAAATTTTCCAGAAAAGATAACCATAAAGAAGTCATATTCTTTATTGTTATTTTTAATGTTCTATCAGATTGGTATCTGGAGATTGGAAAGTGGATGAAGACTCTCAACTGTTCAAAATACAACAAGATAAACTTCTATCCAGTAGCACCAGCCAACTGGGTACGAAATTATTTTGAGATAAGAAATATACTCTGTATATATCCCAACAAAGATCTCAAAGAAATAGCTCAGCTTCCAGCCAACGTCAGGAAGGCTGTTAAAAGATATACTGAAATTATCAAGACAACAAATATATACATCAGATTCCATTCAACAACTATGGAATGGGATTCCGTTCTTGAATATATGCATCTATCATTCCATATTATCAAAATGGAACTTACAAATCAACATTTTTTACCAACCAGTCAAAATGTTGTTAAAAATGGATATCAAGATATTATAAATATAATGCCCTACAGAAGAGCAAAATGGTATAAAGAAATATTTGAGCATGTAACCCAGATAATTACTGAGAAAGAAAAAATATGAATTTATCCATCTGAAGACCATATAATCTACTCCAATGCAAGGATGACTACAAAGGAAGAAGACATATGTTATCTTGACCATTTATTATCCTCAATTATCTCAAACTAAGTACATGGGTCAGAAGATATGGTGAAAAAACTATGCAAACTATTCTGGAATTACAAAGACCACCATTGTGAATACTGTGTAGTGGAAGATATGAGTCAAGTATTTTTCAATAGAGAAGAATTCCTTGCAGAATTCTTTGATTCAAAGATGGAAAAGTGATAGCAACAAAAGTGGCCCTTTATCACTACTTTAATAAAAAATTTTATTAAAGAAAAACTGTGGCTACTAAAAGATAGAAGATAATGCAAGAAAGTCTCCATAATTGTGACCACTCACCTACCAGTCGTCAAAAGTGGAAGACAAATTCAAAGATAAGGCAAATAATTTCAAAAGGAGAGGTCCACCTAGTAAGAAGATAATGGAGAAATCGGTGGAGATAAGACTACTGAGCTACTCACCAAAAGAAAAGAGGATACAGATGTCAAGATAAGATTCTCAAAACATTCTATAAAAGGGGGCAAGAAGAGAAGAGAAGATATCTCGAAACAACTTATCTCTAAAACACTCTGAAGAAACACATTTCAAATATTTTGTAATATGTATACACCACTTGTATTCAGAAAATATTAGATAGTCAGAAGATAGCAAAGTTTGTAATAAGATAATCGCTTATGGAGTTCTAAAACCTCATAAGGTGAGTACCGATGGTATGTAAATATAGATTGTAAGCATGTACTATTTCAATTTATAAATATTAAAGTGAAGTTTGTTATGCTTAACAAAACTTTCATAAAAGGATTTCGTTAAATTTCTCATGATTCCTCGGCAGTACAGAAGAGATTTTAAAAGATTTTCAAAATATTGATTTTAAATGGATGTTAGTCATGCCAAAGTACCCGTCTTTGCTGAATGGTTTAGGGGAAAAAGACAGTTTTCTAACAAATCGTAGCACCTTGTGTGTGAGTTATCTTTTAAAATTTCGTTCCAAGTAAGGACTTGATTCTGAAAAGAGTCTGAATAGAGGTGAAAACAGAGACTTTGGATACTGTGAGATAGTGTCTGTGGAAACACGGCTAGTTCTCTAGAGTGAGAAATGCAACCTTAATTGAAAAGCCTTTTGCGGAAGCAGTTGTGGACCCAAGTGATTCCAAAAAACATTTTAAACTTTTACTTGATTCAGAAGATTGATTAAGTACATGCAAATTATCTATAAGAGCATACTAGAAGGAAAGCGTGTTTACTTCTATTGGATTACTGTAAGTTATTTATTCGCTTTTACATGCTTATGCTTTGATTAATTTTGATGAACACTTCACAAGCATCCACATCTATTTCTAATAGTGATAATGATCCCAGATTATATTTAGATAAGAAAGATATTTTGTTTTTACTTAAATTAGCTGAAAAATCTGAAGACATATTTTCTGTTAGGAAAGAAAAACTTGAAGAAATATATCGAGATATAGATTATTATTGTAAACATAATATAAGACTTGATTCTGTAAGGACAAGCAGAGAAATAAAAAAGATAGAAGATATTATAACTAAACATAACAATATAGAAGAAGAAGTTTCAGAAGGAATAGTTTTAGGATATATAACTGAAAAAGATCAGCCTAAAATCTTTGAAAAATTATCAAAATACAGAGAATATTTAGAGAATTAGGAAGAATTGGAAGAATTGTAAGATATAATCCTGAAAGACCTAATAATTAAAAGATATAGGATACATCTTGCAAATAATAAAAGTAAAGGCAAAATAGTATTTCCTATCATAAAGGTCACTGTGAAAAATAGAACTAATTTTTTAACCGTTCTAAAGACTACCCCGTTGAACTGCAACTTTCCTTTGACTGAATTTTTGAGGTTTCTGGCTGTAATAAGCGAAGGCATTCGAAGACAGGTAAAAAGAATAATTAATTAATTGATTAATAATTAAGATCAAAAGGTGCATCATAATTATTATTAAAAGTTAATTTGGATTTTCACTGGATTCCATATTGATAAAGTATTGGTCAAAATAATGTATTTCGGCTTGTTTCCATTCATTTTCCTTCTAAAGACTTCAATATTGTGGACATCCAAGCCGTCCATGTTTAAGAGATATTGTGCGTAATTTTAGCAAATAAATTACTTGTTTTCTAACTTAATTAACTTTTAAGTTGTGAGACTCATAGTTATTTGCATTTTGATTCACATAATTTGTAAATCCTAAGGTTTATAAAAAAATAACTTTTTATTTTATTTTATTTATTATTTTTTTTTGCCAAATATGTTAGAGAAATATATATCTTTAAACAAAAATAAAATTATGAATTATCATAACACCTTTATGTTGCTTAGTTAATTTTAAATACAAGTGGAAAGATAGAACAATAAAATAGATTTAATTTTAAATAATGCATCGACAATATGTTAAAAGCCTAAAAAGAGAACAACAAGTCAACACCAAAACCCAAATAATAATAATAATAATAATAATAATAATAATAATAATAATAATAATAAAGAGGGAAAGAAGGAGTCACCGATCTGAAAGTCTGATGCCTGATGGAGTTCACTGTCCGGTTCACCGGTTGGCGGTTCAGGCGTTTGGGAGTTCGACAATCGGGAGCAGGCGCGGAGCCAAAAGTAGGCAAGCAACGAATGATTTGATGAGTTTGCTGTTTATTTGGTCTGCTCGGAGTCTGGAGCTAGTCAGCTAGGTCGTGTGGTTTGTGGTGTGAATTTAGAGCAAGAAAAAGTGAGATTGAGGAAAAGGGTTTGGCAATTTGGAGGAAATTCACAATTCTTGCTGCTGCCTGAGCTCGTATTCTGTTGGCGATTGAAAATGTGAGGGAAATGGCCAAATGAAATGGGTTATGGGTAACGGGTTCAAGGCTAAATTCATTTGGGCTAAATAAATTAAATAACAATAGGTCCAAAATTTAATATTTACTGAAGCCCAAATTAAAAAAAAAAAAAAGAGACAAATTGAGCGGCGCCTTCATCTTCCTTCTTCCTTCTTCTTCAATGACGCAAGATTGCAACTCCTTACTCGACGGCTTTGCAGATTCCGACGGAGCCAACACGCGCGGTCATGCCCCCTTGTCGGGTGCTAGCTCCGCACCTGATTGGGAGTGAATTTAGATTACCAAAACAAGTTAAAATTTTGCTCGAATCAAGAAATTGATCCTAAAAAGTAGGGAATATAAATTCTTGAGATAGATAATTACAATATTGTATTAATGAGAGTATTACTATTTCTTTTTATTCACCTCAGCTAATTAAAATTTTGTCTTTATTGATCTTTTTCGATAAATTTCAGCAAAACTTGCTCTTTTTACTATTATAAAATAATATAAGGACAAAAAAATTCCATAAAGAATACTCGATTGGACGTTAAATTGAAACGCGTCCAACTTTTTTCCTCACTAAAGAATCGCAAATGGCCTCTCCGCCGACGCTCCCGATATCGACCTCCCAATCCGACACGGTGGCGTCGTCGATCTCCACCCGCGCCTTCCGATCCTTCCTCTCCAACCTCTCCGCCACCATCCGTCACGGCCTCTCCCAGCGCCGCCCCTGGTACGAACTCCTTGATCGCTCTTCCTTCGCCCGTCCCGACTCCTTGTCCGAAGCCGCATCCCGCATCCGCAAGAACTCCTCCTACTTTCGCGTCAATTACATTTCGCTAATCGCCCTTTCACTTGCTTTATCTCTTCTGTCCCACCCTTTCTCGTTACTTGTCCTCTTAGGCCTACTCGGCGCGTGGTTTTTCCTTTACTTATTCCGTCCTTCGGATCAGCCACTTGTTATTGGGGGACGCACATTTTCGCCTCGTGAGATTTTGGGGATTTTGGTGGTGTCTACCGTAGTTGTGGTGTTCCTAACCAGCGTTGGATCGCTGCTCATGTCAGCTTTGCTTGTCGGCCTGGCAGTTGTTTGTACGCACGGCGCATTCCGCGTTCCCGAGGATTTGTTCCTGGACGATTCGGAGCCGGCTAATGCTGGGTTGTTTTCCTTCCTAGGTGGCGCAGCTTCCGCCGCGGCTGCAGCTGCACCATCCGTTGCCACTCGTGTGTAATTTGATTCGATAAAATCCATTCGGATGTAATAGATCCATATACAAAGGTAATAGATTGGCTTCTTTTAATACTACTTGGTGATTATTTTAATGTTATTTAGAGGAATTGTAAGATTTCTCGGTAGAAGAATATATGTGGAACTGCCTCATCATTAGGGGAAATTTGGCTGGAGATTTTGTACCTAGATTGGATCTGTCACTTGCTATTTAAAATCTGTGTTTTGGATGATTTATGTAATCTTTCGTCACACGTTTCTTGTTGAATTAGATGTTCAATTATTTCGTCAGATATCAATTATTTAGCAGACATTTTGCTCATTATTATGTTTTGAGAATTGATTATTATCTTTTATTTTCTATATCTATTATTTTCTGAATCTTTAGTGCTATTTTCTCTCTGTCTTGATTTACATGAGTTCTTACAAGAATATAGCCTATATATTAGTATTCAAACTACAAAGTTTATAATGGATTTATTGTGGTTGGAGAAATCTCCAGTCTGCAATATAAGTTGGTCTTCATCAAAACATTGAACAAATTTAACCCCCATGTTTTTTCTCTTAGTATACAAACTATAAAGTTTATAATGGGGATTTATTGTGGTTGAAGAAATCTGCAGTCTGCATTGTAAGATATTCTTCATTAAAACTTTGAACAAATTTAGCTGCTAAGACTTGGTGAAAGAAATGGACCACATGTAAAATCCGTGCATCATTACTGTCCATGCGAACTTTGTCCATGGGATCAACTTCAGGATAGCGAACGTGCCAACTTTTTTATCGGCCCCAGATTTTGCCAGCCTCTTGCCTTGGATGGTTTTGCAGCTTATGCCAAGTATTGTTTAGTTTTGTTATCACTAAGTTGTCGAGATAACTCTGTGCACTTGGCCATAATTCTCTACAGATTTTGAGTTGAAGAAGGGATAGGGATCCGACAGGGTCTGTTAAAATAGTCCGAAGTTGTAGGAGTGAGCATGATGGATTTTTATAATTAAGCAAATTGGCCAACATAATAGGAGTCAATGTAGTGGAGTCAAGATGATTATGATGGAGGCCTAAGGTGAATTTATGTTGTGCATTATGCTGAGCATTATATCTCTATATGGTTGCATATAGATGGTGGACTACCTATATGAGGATTATCTGCCAAGACCATATAATAATTTTGTACAAAATGTGGCACATTGATGAGAATTGAATTCATGTTCAATTATTTAAGGTAATTCTGACTAATGATATTTTGTTTTTGTTGTCCTATGGTTCATTCACTTTTATACAAGATAAGAGTCCCAATTTTTAAGATGGAAATTAAGTTTATATGCAAATATGACCTATGGTGCTCAAATTCGGGTATGGGTAT